TACTAGTCTGAGGCCTGGGGGCTGGGGACCCCCAATATAGGAAGTTTCCATATAGCTTACAACAATTATCTCATGTTAATAATGTACATTTGTATGGTAAATTTGCCATAATTAATGAACCAATATTGATTCATTAATATCAATCAAAGTCCACCATTTATTCAGATTTCTATAGTTTACATCTAATGTCTATTTATGATCTGAGATATCATCCAAGGTATCTGATTTTCGTATCTCCTTAGGCTTCTCTTGGCTATGTCAGTTTCTCAGACTTTCCTGCTTTCTGATGAACATGAGAGTTTTGAGTAGGTATTTTGTAGAATATTTCTTAAGTGAAATTTGTCTGATGTTTCTTTCATTATCAGACTGGTATATGGATGTGGGAGAATAAAATCACAGAATTGCCATTGTTATCAAAATATATGAAGGGTGCTTCATATTAACATAGCTTATCAATAGTTAATATTGACTTTGATGACCTGGCTGAGATTGTGTTTGCCGAGTTTCTCCACAGTAAGGTTATTCTTTCTAGTCCCTTATCTCTAAATTGAAATTCTTGAAAAAAAAAGTCAGCATTTATAGCTCACCCTTAATGAGTGAAGATTTACTCCTTGAGGACAGAGTAACTACATTATTAAGATTTCTTCTCCAAGGGAGATTTGTCTGTACTCTACCTGTGTTAGTCTGTTTTCACACTGCTGTCAAGATACTACCTGGGAGGGTAATTTGTAAAGAAAGGAGGTTTAATTGACTCACAGTTCTGCATGACTTGGGAGGCCTCAGGAAACTTACAATCATGGCAGAAAGAGAAGGGGAAGCAAGGCATGTCTTACATGGTGGCAAGAGAGAGAGAGAGAAAGAGAAAGAGGACAAGGGAAACTGCCATTTTAAAAAACATCAGATCTTGATTACAAGAACAACAAACCTACCCCATAATCCGATCACCTCCCGCCAGATCCCTCTTCAATACACTGGGATTACAATTTGAGATGAGATTTGGGTTGGGACACAGAGCCAGACTGTATAACTACCATTTGTTTATTTATTTAATAATTTATTGATATCTGTATAAACTCATGAATGTTTATTTTATACCCTGGGTTATAGTTTAATACTGCTTTATTTTGTTTGAATTGGGAAATTTCAGACTTTCCTGCTTTTTGATGAACATGAGAGTCTTAAGTAGGTATTTTGTGCTCCTATGTCCCTTTGACATACACCATCAATGGAGAAGTAGTGGGCTTTGCTGTCATTGTTGCTGCTGGTTTTATTTACTAATTTTGTTCCTTTTTTTTTAATCCCTGACTTTCTTCCTGGCATTATAAGATACTACAAGTAAATCTTGTATCATTCCTCTGTCATTTCTCCAAAAAACTCAGGAACCTTCAACTGGAGAATAGAATTGGAGAGCAAGAATTGGGTGCTAGGTATCCTTTTTGCTATTGTGGTAACATTTCCTCATGCGTTCTGTAATAGTCTGTACTTGTACTGCTATAAAGAATTACCTGAGACTGGGTCATTTATAAAGAAAAGATGTTTAATTTGCTCACAGTTTCACAGTCTGTACAGGAAGCATAATAGCTACTATGGAGGCCTCAGGAAACTTTCAATCATAGCAGAATGCAAAGGGGAGGCAGGCACATCTTACATGACCTGAGCAGGAAGAAGAGACCAAGTGAGGAGGTGCTACACACTTTTAAACAACCAGATCTCATGAGAACTCCCTCATTATATTGTACCAAGGGAGATGGTATTAAACCATTCATGAGAAATTCACCCTCATAATTTAATCACCTCCCACTAGGCCCTACCTTCTACACTGGGGAATATAATTCAACATGAGATTTAGATGGGGACAGACATCCAAACCATATCACTTTCTGAACTTACAGAATAACTAACCCATATGTATGCACATATATGTATAAATATTTCTATATGATGTATCCCCTATAGATATATTGACCTAAACATGAGTTTTTATTATGTCTCCAACTCTAATATATTACCATTTAGATAATTTTAGCATTCTCTCCTTGCCTTACTCTCAAATTGCCACTGTAAGTCTAGGAAATCTTGATCCCACTATTCACAATCCATTTACCTAAATCTTTAATTTCTTTTATTAGAACTTTGAAGTTTTTAATATGTAGAACTTCTACATATTTTGTTAAATTTATACCTATGGATTAATTTCATTTGGGGCTACTATTTTAAATGTCCTAAATTTCAAATTATCTTGATTTCAAATTATCATTCATTACTGGTATATATGAAAGCAATGAACTTACATATATTACTCCTTACCATGTGACTTTGCTATGATCACTTATTAGTACCAAGAGAATTTTTATTGATTCTTTGATATTTACTACATAGACAATCATGCCTTCTATGAAGAAAGACAGATTTATTTCTTCATTCTCAAGCTGTATACACTTTATTTCCTTGTTCTGTCTTATTGCATTAACTAAAGCTTTCTGTATGATGTTGAATGGGAGTTATGAGAAAGAACATTCCTGACTTTTTTCTAATCTTAGGAGGAAAGTAGCTAGTTTCACACTGTTAAAAATGAAAATGATAACTACAGGGTTTTGCAAATGTTCTTTATCAAGTTGAAGTTCCCCTGTATTTAGTTTGCTGAGATTTTAAAAAATTATTAATCAGGGTTGGATTATGAGGCATGTTTTTGATACATCTATTGATATAGTCATGAAATTTTTGTTCTTTAGTCTATTGATGTGGAGGATTACACTAACTGAATTTCTGGTATTGAATTACTTTTCATATCTGGAATAAATACCATTTCCCTGTAGTATATAATTCCTTTTATACAGTGTTGGATTCAATTAGCAAATGTATTGTTGAGGATTTTGCATCTATTATTACAGATACTGGTTTGTGATTTTCCTTTCTCGTAGCATTTTATGCATGAGTGTGTTTCAATAAGGGTAATGTTGGCTTCACAAAATGAATTAGGAAGTATTCCCTGTCTTGTAATTTTGTGGAGGAAATCGTAAATAATTGGTATAATTTCTTCTTTAAATGTTTGATAGACTCCACCAATGAAATAATCTGAGCCTTCTGTTTCATTTTTAGAAGGTTATTAGTTACTAATTACATTTTAATTTCTTTAATTGATATAGACCTGTTTGTATAATTAATTTCTGTTTTTGTCAGTTTTGGTGGTCTTTCAAGGAATTGGTCCATTACAAATAAGTTATCAATTATGGAGGCATAAAGTTATTGCTTTATTTTCCTTTAATGTTCTTAGAGTCAGCATTCATAACCACTTTCCATTTTTGATTTTAGTAATATGTATCTGCTCTATGTTTTTTGGTAGCCTACCCAGAAAGTTACCAATTTAATTAATCATTTCAACAACTGGTTTTTTGTTTCATTCATATTATCTCTTGTTCTTCATGTTTTCAATTTTATTGATTTCTGCTCTAATTTGTTTTTCTGCTTACTCTAGACTTATATTATTCTTTCTCCTCTAGTTCACTCTATATATATATTTATTTTTTTATTTATTTTGAGACAAGATCTCACTCTCATCCAGGCTGGAGTATAGTGGTGCAAACAGGCCTCCCTGTAGCCTCCACCTGCTGGGCTGAAAGGATCCTCCTACCTCAGTCCCCCAAAGTAGCCAGGATTATAAGCATGTGCAACCAATCCTGGCTACTTTTTTTTTTCTTTCAGAGATGGAGTTTTACTATGTTGCCTAGCTGTTCTCAAACTTTTGGGCTCAAGCAATCCTACTGCCTTGGCCTCCCAAATTGCTACCATTACAAGTGTGAGTCACTGTGCCTGACCCACTATGTATAAGTTTAGATTAATTATTTTACACCGTTCTCCTTTTCTAATATATGAATTTAATGCTATAAATTTTCTTCTCATGACTGTTGTCTTTATATTTCACATATTTTTTAAAGTTGTATTTTCACCCACTGAAATGTATTTTTAATGTCTATAATTTGTGTTGACATAATCGTATATATTTACGGGCTTCATGTAAAATTCTGTTATGTGCCTAGAATGTGTAATGATCATGTCAGGGTATTCAGGGAATCTATCACCTGAGTATTTATAATTTCTATGTGTTGAGTACATTACAGGTACTCTCTTCTAGCTATTTTGAAAAAAAAAAAAAGAATACATTGTTGGTAACTATAGTCACCTGACTCTGCTATGAAACATTAGAACTTATTCTTTCTATCTATACTTTAACCATCCTGACTTCATCCCTGCTACACCCAATATATGCCCTTCCTATTTCTGGTATCTGTCATTTCACACCCAACCTCAATGTGATCAACTTTTCAAACACCCACATGTAAATGAGAACATGCAATATTTGTCTTTCTGTGCCTGAGTTATTTCACTTAGTAACTCTAGTTCCATCCATACTACTGCAAACAACATGATTTCATAAGTTTTATGATTGCATAGTATTTTACTGTATATGTGTACCACATTTTCTTTATCTATTTGTCTGTTGATAGACACAAGTTAACTCCTTATCTTTGCTACTGCTATTAGTGCTACAATAAGCGTGGGAGTGATGTTTCCCTTTAATATATTAATTTCATTTCCTTTGAATAAATACCCAGAAGTTGGATAGCTGAATTGTATGGTAGTTCTATCTGTAATTTTTTTGAGTAATCTCCATACAGATTTTCACAGTGGCTGTACTAATTTGTATTCCCGCCAACAGCATACAAGCATTCACTTTCTCTACATCCTTACCAGTATCTGTTACTTTTTGTCTTTTTAATACTAGCCATTCTAACTGAAATAAGGTGATATTTCTTTGTGGTTTTAATTTGCATTTTCCTGATAATTAGTGATGTTGAATTTTTTTTATAGTTTCAGCTCTTAAATCTAAGACTTTAATCCATCTTTGTAGGGGTTTGTTCAGTGTGGTGGAATATATTATAAAAGAAAAATTATAGAGAAAAGGACACAAACCTTCTTGGAAAGCCAGAGGTTTTTGCAAAAGCCTACAGCACCTGGTATTCCCAAGCGTTCTCCCATCCAAGTACTCCCAGGCCCAACCCTGCTTAGCTTCCAAGATCAGATGAGATTGGGTGCATTCAAAGTGGTATAGCTGTAGATTTAGTTAAGGCTGTCTTGACGTTCTGTAATAAATAAACAGAGTAAGCTGAGTCACTAACAATATTGATGGGCTGAGTGGAAAAAGTTTCCAAGGCCAATATCAGAGCTCTGATCTCAGCTGTCAGAGTTCTAGTTAGTCTAGATCGAGTGACAGAAGTATGTGGTCTTCACCAAACAGCTGCTTTTCCATTTTACCAGGTCATTCACTAAACAGTATTAAAGTGTTACAAAAAAGGGTATGAACTATCTTTGTAGGCAAAACCACAGAAATATGAGATAAGAACTGAAGGAGCTTGCCAGCAGAAAGGATATATATATGGCCTGTGTAATCAGAGAGAGCTATTTGCAGGTCCATAGGTAATGGCAATACTGCTTCGCATTGCCTTTTACTTAGAGGAATCCTGAGTAAAAAACTTTTCAGTCTTCCAAAAAGTTTGCATCCTTTTCTCTATAATTTTTCTCTTATAATTTTTCCCATTACCCTTACTGAACCCCTACATATCAAGAGTTGATTTTTGTATATGGTGAGAAATAGGGGTCTGGTTCCTTTTTTCAACATATGGTTATCCAGTTTTCCCAGCACTGTTATTGAAGAAACTGTCCTTTTCCCAATGTATGTTCCTAACAGCTTTGTCAAAGATCGGTTGCCTGCAAATATGTAGATTTATTTCTGAGTTCTCTATTCTGTTCCATTAGTCTATGTGTCTATTTTTATACTAATACTATGCTGTTTTGTTTACCGTAGCTTTCTAATACATTTTGAAGCCAGGAAGGTGATGGTTCCAGGTTTGTTCATTTTACTCACGATTGCTTTGGCTGCTCTGGCTCTTTTTTGGGTTTATGTAAATTTTAGAATTGTATTTTTTTATTTCTGTAAAAAATGGCGATGATATTTTTATAAACATTGTTTGATTCTGTAGATTGCTCTGGGCAATATGATAAACAATATTATTTCTTCCAATTCATGAACATGGAATGTCTTCTCATTTGTTGGTGCCCTCTTCAATTTCTTTCATCAGTGTTTTATAGTTTTTCTTATAGAGATCTTTCACCTCCTTGGTAAAATATATTCATAAATACTTTTTGTAGCTATTTTAAATGTAATTGCTTGTTTGATTTCCTTTTTGGCTATTTTATTACTAGTGTATACAAATATCACCAACTTTTGCATATAGATGTTGTATCCTAAATTTATTCATCAGTTATGACTTTTTTGTTTGTCATTTGGTTTTTCTAAACATAAGATCATGTTGTCTGCAAAGAGGGACAATTTGATATTCTCTTTTTCAATTCGGATGACTTTTACTTTTCTCTTGTCTGATTGTTCCGGTGATGATTCCTGGTACTTTGTTGAATAACAGTTGTGGAAGTGGGTATCCTTTTTAAGTTCCAGTTTTAGAGGAAAAGCTTTCAACTTTTCTTTTATCAGTATAATGTTAGCTATAGGTTTGTCATATATGGGCTTTATATGCATAGCTTATTGAGAGTTTTATCATGAAGAGATGTTGAATTTTATCAAATGCTTTTGTGTGCCTCTATTGAAATGATTATATAGTTTTTTTCTTCATTCTGTTAATGTGAAGTACCACATTTGTTGATTTGAAAATCACTTTTGCATCCCTGAAAATATGACATCTCCAAAGCAATGCTATAATTCTTCAGCCACAGACTGAAACAAAAAGAAATTCATAAAATTCTAAAAAATATAAATCAAAATGTCAATACTCATGAAGCTCAGAAAGATATAAAGGAATTTTGAAAAACAATACAAAGAAATCAGAAAAACAAATAATAATATGAATGAGACACATGGGAGACTACAAAACAGCCAAATACTTGTATTCCAGAAGGCTAAGATGTAACAAAAGGGCAAGAAAACGTATTTAGTGAAGTAATAGATGAAAAGTTTTCAAGTTTAAGAAGAGATTTAGACATCCATATACAAGAGCCTCAGAAATCCCTAAAAAGATAAAATGCAAAATGATCATCTTCAAGGGATATTATAGTCAAACCATCTAAAGTGAAAGACAGAAAGAAAATTCTAAAAACAGGAAGTCTAATTTCCTGTAAAGAAACTCTCATCAGACTAAGAGAGGATTCCAAAGAAGAAAACGTACATGCCAGGAGAGAATGGGATGAGGATGGTCTCGATCTCCTGACTTCATGATCTGCCAGCCTTGACATCCCAAAGTGCTGGGATTATAGGCATGAGCCACTACACCAAGACTATCACAGATTTTTTTTAATTATTCAAATGTTAGCTTTGTCTAAAATCAATGTATATATGCCAGATATTTTTATTGGTATTAGCATAGTATGTGTTTTACTATCCATTCACTTTTAATCTGTCTGTGCTTATATACAAATGGCTTTTTAAAATTTATTTTTAAACTTATTTTTCAATTGTTTTATTACAGTATAATTGACATATGAAAAAGTATTGTTATGTAATGTATACAACTTAATTTGTTTGGGGATAAGTATACATTTATAATATTATCAAACTATCATTTTCATATTATGCCATGAACCTACTCATCTGCTCAAAAAGTTTCCTCCTGTTCCTTTAAAATCACTTGTTTTCAGAATTTATATACTTGTGTATTATTTGTGTTTACTCTCTCATTCTCTGTCTTTAACTGGTGTGTATAGATCATTCATAATTAATTAATTAATTATTGATATAGTTGCTGTAACACAGACATGTGTTACAGACATGTCTGTCTTACATTTCTGTAACTGTTTGATATTCTTTTCACTTATCCTTTGTATCTTTTGTTTTCTTCCTCTGTTTTAGCACTGCTTTCCATTTTTTATTTGGCATGCTATATGATTTCACTTTCTCCTCAGCATATTAATTATACATCTAAAACATTTTTGGAGTAGTTGTACTAGAGCTGACATATATTTGAAATCAATCCAAGTTTACTTATAAGTAACAGTATACTGCTTCATGGTTGGTGCAGTTATTTTAAAACAGACTATTCCCAATTCTCCTCTCTTATTATGTGTAACATTTCTGTCATTCATCTCACTTTTCCACATTTAAAATTACATAGTGCATATTTGCAATTATTATTTTGAATAATTATTTCTTCAAAATGAAGGAAAAATAAGTTTCTTAGACAAACAAACTGGATCTTTACATAATTAATTTCCAGCAGTACTGCAACAAATGTTGAAAGAGCTTCTTAGGAAGACAGAAAATGATATAGGCCAGAAACACATATATACATGAGGAAAGGAAACATGGCAGAAAAAATAAACAAATAAAGGCAATTTAACTTTAGACAAATCTAACTTTTGCATAATAAGAATTATAAATGATAAAAAAATTACATTACAATCAAGAAGCCACTTATTCAAGGAGATATAACAACCTTAAACATGTATGCACCTAACAATAGAGCATTAAATTCCATAATAATACTAATATTCTTACTAATGTTATCTTTGAGATCAATCAAGAGTAGGAAAACTATTTTATTTTATTTTAATTTAACTTAATTTTATTTTTATAAATTATACTTTAAGTTCTGAGGAACATGTGCAGATATTGCAGGTTTATTACATAGGTATACACGTGCCATGGTGGTTCACTGCCTCCAATGATGGTTTCCAGATTCATCCATGTCCCTGCAAAGGACATGAACTCATCCTTTTTTATGACTGTGTAGTATTCCATGGTATATGTTTGCCACATTTTCTTGATCCAGTCTATAACTGATAGGCATTTTGTTGGTTTCAAGTCTGTGCTATTGTAAACAGTGCTGCAATTAACATACATGTGCATGTTTCTTTATAATAGAACAATGTATAATCCTTTGGGTATATACCCAATAATGGGATTGCTGGGTCAAATGGTATTTCTATTTCTAGATCCTTGAGGAATCACCACACTGTCTTGCACAATGGTTGGATTAATTTACAATCTCACCAACAGTGTAAAAGTGTTCCTATTTCTCTACATCCTGTCCAGTATCTGTTGTCTCCAGATTTTTTAATGATTGTCATTCTAACTGTCATTAGATGGAATCTCAATGTGGTTATGATTTGCATTTCTCTAATGACCAGTGATGATGAGCATTTTTTCATGTGTTTTTTTGGCTGCATAAATGTCTTATTTTGAAAAGTGTCTGTTCATGTCATTCACCCACTTTTTGATGGGTTGTTTCTTTTTTTAAATTTCTTTTAATTCTTTGTAGACTCTGGATATTAGCGCTTTGTCAGATAGGTAACTTGCAAAAATTTTTTCCCATTCTCTTGGTTGGTGGTTCACTCTAAAGATTGTTTCTTTTGCTTTGCAGAAATGCTGAAGTTTAATTAGATTGCATTTGTCTATTTTGGCTTTTGTTGTCATTGTTTTTGGTGTTTTAGTCAAAAAGTTCTTGCCCATGCTATATCCTGAATGGTATTGCCTAGGTTTTCTTCTAGAGTTTTTATGGTGTTGGGGCTTATGTTTTAATCTTTAATCCATTTGGAGTTAATTTTCACATAAGGTGTAAGTAAAAGGTCCAGTTTCTACTTTCGGCACTTGGCCAGCCAGTTTTCCGAACACCATTTAGTAAACAGAGAATCCTTTCCCGATTTCTGGTTTTTGTCAGGTTTGTCAAAGATCAGATGGTCGTAGATGTATGGCATTACTTCTGAGTCCTCTGTTCTGTCCTTTAGCCAATATCTCTGTTTTGGTACCAGTACCATGCTCTTTTGATTACTGTAGGCTTGTAGTATAGTTTTAAGTCAGGTAGCATGATGTCTCAAGCTTTGTTCTTTTTGCTTAGGATTATCTTGGCTATGTGGACTCTTTTTTGGTTCCATATGAAGTATAAGGTGGTTTTTTCTAGTTCTGTGAAGAAGGTCAATTGTAGCTTGATGAGGATAGCATTGAATTTATAAATTACTTTGGGCAGTATGGCCATTTTTATGACATTGATTCTTCCTAACCATGAGCATGGAATGTTTTTCTGTCTCTCCGTGTCCTCTCTTATTTCCTTCAGCAG